CACACACACACACACACTCACACACACACACACACACACACACACTCCCTCTGACGTCTTTTGCGCATTTCCTGCATTAGAGGGAGGGAGACTCGCTCGCACACCGGGCTGTCCTGGTGGCAACTTAACTCTCATACAAGCATCCTGGCCCCTGGTCGCAAACCCAGAGCTTCTGTGTAGTCGGGGAAGGTCAAAGTTGCAATGCTTCTTCAAGGGAGGATTGTTTTGATGGTGGCAACAAAATTGGCAAGCTAGGAACATTCTTCAATAAAATGTTCTTTATAAGAAAAAAATCATCAGCGTTGAATTACAGCATGCTGCCACATAACAGCTTTCCCATTATTAAAATAATCTAGTCACTGAGGAAAGGGGTAATCTTTTTTTCCCCTCTTTTTTATCAGATGATGCAGATATCATGACTTCTTTCACAATGGAGTTTTGGTGCAGCCCAAAGAAGTATAGCTAAGAAATCACCCCGCAGCTGGCAGAGGAGCCGACAGCTCCTCTCTTCTTCTGGAGGTGCCGCTGGTGGTAGGGGGGGAGAGGCTTGTTCCAAACACGGACGTCCCCCAGCTCTCCCCCCATCCCTGTTTTCCGTTAGGAGCCCGGCGAGGAAATACATGCACTCACTGAGAATCGCCCGCGCTAGGGCGCAGCGCTACAAGGTGTAGGCAGAGTGTGGGGTGGGGCGAGAAGGGGACTGAGGAGCCCCCGCGGCTCCCAACGCCGGGGCGTCGGTTCTTCATCCTGCCCTCGGGGCGGACGGAGCGATCCCGGCCCCCCTCCACGCCCCGACCATGGTAGTGTTCAATGGCCTTCTTAAAATCAAAATCTGCGAGGCTGTGAGCCTGAAGCCCACAGCCTGGTCGCTGCGCCATGCAGTGGGACTCCGGCCGCAGACTTTCCTTCTGGACCCTTACATTGCCCTCAACGTGGACGACTCGCGCATCGGCCAAACGGCCACCAAGCAGAAGACCAACAGCCCGGCCTGGCACGACGAGTTCGTCACCGATGTGTGCAACGGGCGCAAGATCGAGTTGGCCGTCTTCCACGATGCCCCCATCGGCTACGACGACTTCGTGGCCAACTGCACCATCCAGTTTGAGGAGCTCCTGCAGAACGGGAGCCGCCACTTCGAGGACTGGGTGAGTCTGGCGCCTCCCGGTCCAGGAGCCCAGATGTGGGGTCCGGGGTTGGCTGGGGGTGCGAAGGGGAGACTCAGGGCCTTGGCATTGGTAGCAGGGTGCAGGGACGTCACTGTGACCCGGCGTGTGTGTGTCTACGGAAGCCTCAGTTACCTTGGAGAAAAGCACCCTCTGCTTGGTAGTTGGGGAGAGGTAGTAGGCATAGGAGTTAAGAAGAAGAGACTTGGGAAGAGGGTCTGGCTCTTTGCCCCCTCCAGCCAGCGAGCGGGTGCTACAGGGACCTCGCAAGCTGAGAGAGCCCGAGCCAGTGCCTGAAGGTTGGCTGAGAACCCGGCGCCTTCCGCAGGCGCGTGGTGGGCTGGCTGTGTGTGATTGTGTGTGGGTGGGTTCCTCTGTCCTTGGAGAGGCACGTGGAGCCCTAGACTGAAGGCTTCTTGCACGTCCTGGCTTTGTCCTGCTTCGCCGAGTCTGGAGCTGCTTTATTTTCCCCTCCGGAGGAAGCTAGCTTGTTTCTTTTCTGTGGCGTGGTGGGTAGCTCATCTTCGGACCTTCAGGGAGAAAAATGTGTTCTCCTCCAGGATGCCCCCTCAGGGTCCAAGAAACATCAGCCCAATGCATTACCCGCCGTCCAGAATGAGTGTTGTATTTAAAAAATGGTTCTGCTTGCGAGTAATTGAAAAATCAGTGCTTTGAAACCTACTTATAGTTTCTCTGTTTTGATTTTCAAGATATGTGGGATGAAATACTATTTCTAAGTCTGAGACTGAGTTAATTGATTACATTGTCAAAAATATTGGGGGCTGGGAATAGGCCTTGTCCATGGACTATTTAAGCTAAATGCCTTCAGCCTCAGTACCCAGAGAAGCAGGGAGAACACAGCCTTGTTTTAGCTGTTCGAGGAGGGATAGTGTTAAATGAGGAAATAAATTTCTGTATTTTTAGAAATTCTTGTTACCTGTTTCCACCAAGAGCAGGTGTGGCTCTGGGTGTATATGTTCTCAGGGTTCTTTGATCTCCACCAGAAGAGAAGTATCTGCTTCTCGCGGAGAGATGTAGAGAAATCACCTCCTAATTACTGAGAACAAATAACTTTGTGATTGTCCTAGGGTCAGAGGTTGCATATGAATCACCTTGGCATATCACCTCACATATTTTTTCAAGGCAATGGACTTTTAGGGGAGAATCAGAAAAAGCCTCTTCTCTTTATGCTCAGGGCTGTGATGTAGGCTGCCCGAAACCATGGTTACGGGGCTTGCAGGGAAGCTCCAGCACACCACACCAAGTACATCCCTGGGTGATTTGTGACTTACACTTTGGGAAGCAGGCAAACCTTTGTGGAATCCCAAAGAATGCAGTGCCATTCCATTCCACAATGCTCTGGACCTCTGCCTCCCTCCCACCACCCAAGTTTCCACTCATTCCCCATGTCCTTTCCACACAGGCCTGTTAGTCCTTTTACTCATGAAAGCAGCATGTGTCTGAGGGGGAGCTGAAGAGATAACTAATTTCAGAGCCAGACCTTAATACTAAACAACTATGGTTCTGAAGTTGTTGTTGTTTTTGGATAGGAAGGAGAAAAAAAACCATGACTATGGTTGGGAGGAGATGGGGCCTTTTGCTTTGTATGCGGAGGAGGGAGTTTGAGGAGAGGCCGAGAGCAGCAGGTCTGCTTTTATTCAAAGAACAGGTCTTGGTTGGAGCGGGGGATGTCTGAGTGCCTCTGGTGGTGCTTTGCTGGGGCCCACCCAAACCCTGGGCCCAGCAGGGCACCATTCCCACTTCTGAGCACTTCCAGTGAAGCGCACAGTGGCCAGTAGTCTTGCTTGGTTATCGTTCTCTAATCTTCTCAAATTCATGTTGGATTTGGCTCTAGACCAGATCACCTAGTGCACAGGCACGTTTTACAGACAAGGACATTGTGTCCCAGAGAAGCTAAGTGGTACCCGAGGTAACATGACAGGCAAAGGGGGGTTGGAGGTAAGGCCCCCATCTCCTCTTGCTCACCACTGTCTGGTGGGGAACTGAGCCTCCCTGGTCTGTTTTCCCTGCAGATACGTGTGCTGCGTCCCTGAACATTTTTATTGTACGTGATAATTTAAAGAGCTTTCAAAATCATCATCTCATGATCTCTTTTGCCTTATAGCAAGTGTGAATTAAGTATGACAGGTATTGGACAGTTTTAAAGAAACTTGAGATTCAGAAAGGCTGAAGGCATCGGATAATGAAGCAAGAAGCGGAGCTGGTTCTCTTTGCTCACCTAGTGTTGTTTTCACTGGAGGAGGCTGTGGCCACTCTGTTTCCTCCAGCCGAGGGTGGGCGTGCATCAGCAGAGGTGATTGGCCCTTGGAACCAGAGCCATGTTGCACGTGGGCTGAGTAAGGTCACCTTTCCCATTCCCATCAGCCAGGGCACCACTGCAGAATCACACCTTAGGGTAGAATTCCCCGAGCTCAGGGCTTTGCGCTCCTTACCTGGCCGTGATGAAGAGATGCACCCTTTTCCAGGTGTGGCTAAGAACTCTGAGGGGGAGCTGGAGCTGCTCCTCGCATTGCTGTGGAATGTTTCATTCTTCTGTATTCGCTGTTTGTTGCTCAGATTCAACCAGGGAAGTTTAGCAGTCTAATCCAGAGGTAAAAGAGACGATGGGTGACTCTCCAGGGGCTTCCACTTAACCAGGGAAACAACAGTAAGGTTCTAAATGAATATTTGAAGGAATTCAGAAAGGGAGTAGGCTAGGAGAGCTGGAAGGCTCTGGAGGGTTCCTGAAAGGAGGCACGCACTGGGTGTGAAATGTGGGCAACATTTAAAGAGGTATTTATAAGAGGAGGCAGTGTTTCATGGGCACGGACACAGCTGGAATAAAAGCAGAGAATGCCTGTGGCCAGCGTCGGAGAACGGAGTAGCACAGCTGAAACGGAGGGTGCCTGTCAGAAAGGAGCAGGCAGGGTCACGTTCCCTAAATTTATGACTTATTATCTCGGTACTGCCTGTGCTATTATTTACGTAACAGTTTTCAACATTGATTCTTTGACTTTCCACTTGAGCCCAGTCTTCATGAAATCACAGGTTTGGATACTGTTATGACTTTTCTTCATTCAGATGAAAATAAACACATGGCCTCTGAAGTAAAAAGAAGAGAAGTTCATCTCAGGTGACTCTTAAAATCATTAGTGATACGGGGGACACATTTTGGAAACACTGGAGTAGGAGGGAGTTTAGACAACTGAGGTGGGTTCCAATGTGTTTAAAAGCCAAGCTGAGATCATTATTCTTCAGATAATGGGAGACGTATCAGTTGTGATGACAAAGAGGGTTCTTTAGAGAAAGCTTATTACAGAGGCATGGGAGGATTTCACTTGTGCTTGAAGCAGAATCCCAGTAAACACTGTTGCTATAGCTCGGTTTTCCAAGAACAAGATAATAACGCTACTCAGACTTCGGTGTGCCTACGAATCACTAGGGGAAGGTGTGAAAAATACAGACCCTCCTGCCCGCCTCCAGGGCTCTTCATTCTGTGGCTCACGATGAGTGCTAGGAGTCCTCATTTTTAACAAGCTGTCCTCAAGGTTTTGGACCAGAAGATGCTTTGGGAAACCCTGGGCCAGAATAGCTCCAGGTAATTAATGTATCAAGATTTTGTACAGAGATGTCCTGAAATGTTTTAGTAGGCCTTTGTAAGTCCTAAAGCAACATTTATAAGCATACTCGTGTGAACTAGAAATATGGGGATTCATGTTAGAATCAGAGGCTAGATGGAGCCGCATTAGCATTTAGGACAGAGGGTGGAGAGCACAGTAGATGGCGGAGAGCATGGATGGAGCACCCAGGTTGACAGTGGCTGGTCCCCTACACACTCAGGAGTTTGCTCTATAGTGTAAGTAGTCTACTTAGGGCTATGTACCCAGCTCAGTTCCCTATTTCCTCACCCCCTTGCACCACCCCTGCCTCTGAAGACATCTTGCTTAGGGTCACTCCCTTGCTTCATCCTGTAGAAGAGATGCTGAGGTACTCATAACACAGAGGTAATGACAAAGTCATCTTTAAAACATTTAAAAAAAATTTATTTCAGAGAGGAAGGGGAAGGGAGAGAGAGAGAGAGAAACATCAACGATGAGAGAGAATCATTGATCGGCTGCCTCCTGCACACCCCACACTGGGGATCAAGCCCACAGCCCAGGTATGTGCCCTGACTGGGAATCAAACCATGACAGGGCCAGCACACCTGGGTGACCGGGCCCCGGAAGCCTGTGGCTCTTCTGCAGTCTGAAGGATGGGCCATGACTACCGTGTTGTTTTGTTTTCAGTCTCACCGAGGATATTTTATTTATTTCAGAGAGGAAGGGGAAGGGAGAGAGAGAGAGAGAAACATCAACGATGAGAGAGAATCATTGATCGGCTGCCTCCTGCACACCCCACACTGGGGATCAAGCCCACAGCCCAGGTATGTGCCCTGACTGGGAATCAAACCATGACTTCCTGGTTCACAGGTCGACGCTCAACCACTGGCCAAACGTCTTTTGAGAGGCGGCTCAGCAGAGCACTGACAGGCAGAGCTCTGGAGACAGGATGTGTAGGTTTGAATCCCATCAATCTTTCGTGACCTTGAGTGAACCATTTAACCTGTGCTTCTGTGTTTTTCCTCTGTAAAAAGTGGGTGACCATAAAAATACCTAGCTGAAATAAAATGGGGCTGTTGTGGGTGAAAGGAGTCAATCTCTGTCAAGTATACAGGCCAATGCCTGAATCTTAGGAAGAGCTCAATGGATGCTTAACTGCTACACGTATTGTTTTGTCTCCTAAATCTCCATGGGGGCTGGCCAGTTCTGTACTGAGCTGATTATTCTACAGCATCCCAAGAAGCCAGCTTTGCATAGTCTCCAAAATTTTCTCTTCAGTAGGGCCATCTTATTTGGCAAGGATTGAGACACTGAAGTTTCTGTTTCATGTTTCCAATATTGCCTATTGACGGGGCTTCTCAAATCATCCTACCCTGCTGATTC